ACAGATGTCAACATATCATTGGTGTTTTAGTGAACCGAGTATGACTAAAATGATCTATATTTGTAACTAGTAATGACTATCCTCAACGTGACCCCTTCTCTCCTGAAAAAAGAAAAACGTTATTAAACAAGTTATTTTTCAGTTACCTTGCAATTAGCACACTTTCATATATATTGGTGAATATGACAGGATGCCTGTAAATTATTGAATAAACCACACACCCCCACGTATTTGTAGCGTATTTAAAAATGCGAGATTAATTACGCCCTATTACAATTCGTCAAACCCTAGTATTATTAGAGGGCGCTTACGCGCGTAATCATTCCATATTTTGAATTCGCATTTCCTTATATGGTATGATGAAAATACCAAGTAAAATACCTCAAAATTACGACAAGTTATGTAAGTAACTTATGGCGTTACGGTGACAGACGTATAATAATAACTGTTATTGCACAATTTCTACTCGTGGGTAAAAGTAGAAATACTCTTATTATGTACGAACAAACATTGAACGCGGACCAGCTGTTTTGTAATACAATTTAATTACCAACAGTTTACTGTCCGCACAACTTGTTCCAGGTTGACTACGGATTAAAATAAAACCCAAAATACAAACTTTATCAGGCCATAAAACTTGTTCAAATATCGTCACAAGAAATGGCTCTATTATTATTTAGGTATGGGTAATATAAGAAATATTTGTATCAGCATTTCAAAACCGATTTTCTTCAAAGTATCCTTCTGCACGATTCCTTCTATCATATAAAGGTCAGCCTAAGTTGTTGTTTATCTTTATTTTCCATCTAGAAAAACATCGCTCACCGTCAAGTGCTGAGACATCATTGTAGAATCTCATTTGTTTGGAATTTATAGCTAAATTACTTTCTTATGCTGACCACCTCCAATTGTTCACCAATCGCCATACACGTTTTGATCCACACACACTTCACACTTCATTTGTTCTGGAAAACGCATATAATAAAGAATTCCTGCATAATTAATTTAGAGATACCGTGAATACCTTACATACACAAACTGAATTGAAGCTTGATACTGTACATCCGACAATAATTGGATATGACAGGAAGTCATGGAAAAAATACATCAACACACACCCTCACGTCACCTTTATAACGCATTTTTATTTGATTTGTAAAGGTGCGTGATTAATTATACGCTATTACCCATTCATACATACATTAATTCAGTGAATTGTTGGACAGTGAAGAACAAACTGAATTGAAACAAAAGTGAATAAAAAGATGAGATCAATTCTAGTCGTTGAAATACATATATATTCATATAATACAATTGTCATCTTTCGGATGTGCGTTGATTACAACATTTGGTTATGATACACCGGAAAACGATTGAAAACCATTGATTCATTCGTCAACCCCAAAACTATATAAGATACACATTACTGAGTTATCACCATTCAAACATCGATAACCAGCTAGAGTTTTCCTTGAATAGTCGACTTGTACAGAAGTTTACAATGAAGTACTTTATTGTCTTTACGTTTTGTGTATTGTGCATGGTTGGTGTGTGTTATGCTGATGAAGAAAACGTAAAGGTAAGATAAATATAGCTATCGTTGACATGAAGTGGTTAGGGTAGACACCATCACACATTTTTGGATTTAATTCAAACAAGACCTTTTTACAATTTTTGAAAAGAAAATCGCTAACAAATGTAAAATGCCGTTCAAAATACAACCGACTTCATATTAAATAAAAAAACTACCAGATTTATTCGAGCTGGTATAATTCCTAATAATATCGCAATATATATTATCAGTATTTTTCCCCATCTAAGTAAATAAATAATACAACTCGATAGAATAGAATATGTATTTTGATAACGCATTTTCCAAACATCATATATAAATTCCAGTTTTACATTTTAGTTATAGTATGTTTACAACTAATGTTACATTAACAATACTGCGTAGGTCCACTCAAACTATCAACAAATATACAACAAAATAACAAATTTCTAACGGGAATATTACACTGTCCTCTAGAGATTTTTTTCATGAATATACCGTTATCAGCGATGTCGCATTTGTAGACTATTCACATGTTGAATACAGCTACTAATATCATCCAGTGGACCCCTTGAATGGAAATCATCTTCCCAGACCATTAATGATATGCATTTTTTTTCAAAATGGCGTTCGTCGTAGTGACGTGTAATTACTTTATATATGTGGGTTTTCTTCACTCATAAAAACGCACACAACTAAAAGAAAAATTGAATTACTCGTTTTAAATTACTTCTGGAATGAACATCACACAAGACTAATGTGAATATATATATAATACATAGCAGGAAAACATAGTAATGCCAAATATTAATTTCAAATATCAACATACATGTTCAATACTTGTTATATTATATTATTATAGACAGAATTATTCGAAGAATTTGAAGATTTTTTAAAATTACTTGACGCCACAGATGATGAGCAACCACCAAGCAAGCGAGGTAAATATCAACTGATTATTTGACTAACGTGAACAGTTTAGCGCAGGATCCTTGGAAATACCAATATATTGTGCAATTGTAGGTAGGCGAACATAAATTATTGAAAAATAAACTGATTCGTGCGCATGTTTTTCAATGAACTACTGAAGTACAGTAAAAATGTTTTGTAAAATTAAACATTTTGTTCATCTTGTAGCACACGCTCAAATGTATCAATTATGTCTCCTCAATTTATTGAATACTTTCTCTTTTCCTTTTCAGCTTGTTTTCCGTGGAAAGGCAAAATGCTTGGAGACTGTTAACAATTGTAATCCGGTATATGCCGTCGCTTCACAGACAAAGAATATATAAAATCAATTATATAATTATGTGTTTAATCGACGTGATGAACGCTAGTGATCAGTTAATATTGTGAAAAAATTCGATTCAACAAGAAATACATCTTCTGATTTGCTCTGATCATTTCGATATGCAGGGAAGTCCTGTTTTTCTGTTTCATGTAAAGTTGTATATCTTTTATTGTGTACATAAATATATTGCTTATGAAGGAAGAAAATGGTCTTTATCTTTTTTTTCAAT